CAGCCAGTCAGCCACATTGTAAGAGTCTGTGCAGCAGCAGACAAATCCCTCAAGACTGGCGCCCAACCCAATCCTAAGCAGGGAGCAGGACCAGGGAACCCCTGGGTGGGCCTCAAGCAGAGGGCCTTAGCTATAACAGAAAGCTGGAAACAGAAAGTGCTTTAAAACCAGGAAGAAACCCAGAGGGAGCCTGGGGAAAGATGTATCAAGGATGCTGTCAGGTGATAACATTTAGTGGGAAAATAAACAGAGATGCCTAGAACATGGAACAGTGTCAATGTGGTGATAACAGCTACCTCAGATTATGTACATGTGGGGAAGACTGACGGGGCTCATAGGGAGAAAACATTTTAATTTGATGCACTGGGAAGATTGTGGATACATTTTTATCTTCCATTCTGATTTCTGTTAACATTGATAAATGCTTATGCAAGAGTAATTTTAAATGCTTTCAGAGATAAAGAAATCACAAAGAAAAACAATCAAAGAGTTTGACTACATAAAAATTAGAAACTTCTGTCTGTAAAGAAAAGCAGCTGAAATGGAAGGATGACAAATACTCCTGAAGACTTGGTCGTAGTAAGTGTGACAGTCAAAGGGTTAACAGCAAAGTCTTACTACTACTAAACACTCCTGCAAATAACAACAAAGCATTAAAATTTCAAGGGGCAAATAGACAAAATACACAGGTATAGATCACACACAAAATACAACTGTTTGGGGCTGGGGATTTAGCTCAGTGGCAAAAGCCCCTGCCTGGCAAGCGCAAGGTCATGAGTTCGGTTCCCGGTACCGGAGAAAAACCAAAAAAAAATAGAAAAAAAAAAAAAAAAATACAACTGTTTAAGACATTTAAGAAAAAAACGTTTACTTTCACCAGTAATTTAAAAATCACACACAGTATTAGTAAAACAAGGGTAAAACACCATGTCTAGTCTACAGCTTCAAATATGTTTTAACCTTATAGACCAAAGTTATCTGCTAGCCCCTCTATGAAATGGTAGAACCCTTTGGAAAGTAATATGGCAGTGATCAACAAAAGGTTTAAAAATCTTCTTGCCGTTGATTCAGTAATCTCACACCTGGGAATCTATCCTGAGGAAATAACTGAAAATACAAAGTTTAATGATTTATAAAGATATTCAGCCCAGGAGAAGGAAAACAATCCAGTCTAAAGAGCCAAGAACAGAGTAATGGTTACCTGAAAAACTGCCATGTAAAATACTAGGTAATCATGGTAGAAATTAAAAATGAAAATACCTCATGATTACAACTAGATGACAGAAAAGGGGGAGGGGGCCAGTGCAGAGCCCACAATGATACAGGGGACAGCATCAACAGAGATGAGTTATGCTTTATATTCCAACAAGGAATAATACAAAAAGGAAATTAAAGGAGCAATTCCATTCACAATAGCAACAGAAAGAATTAAACACTTAGGAATGAATCTAACCACTGAGGTGAAAGACTTGAACACTGAAGATCACAAAATATGGGTGAAAGCAATTTACAAAGACCTAAGGGGTGAATGGAAAGCCCTCCCGTGTTCCTGGACTGGAAGGCACAGTTCTGCTAAGATGTCAATAGCCCAAAACAACCGACAGATTCCGCAGGCAACAAAAGAAAAAAAAATTAGACTTTTATCAAAAGTAAGAACTTTTTATATCAAAGAGCACTATCAAAAAAATTAAAAGACAACCTAGAGTGGGAGAAAAATGTATAAAACACACTTCTTTATCATTAATTAAGAGATTAATGTTCACAATGTATAAACCTATAGTTCAATGACAAGACAGCCCAGTTACAACATGCACAAAGGACATGAAGAGGTATTTCTCCAAGAAGACATACAAAAGGCCAACATGTACACAAAAAGATGCGAACCTTTAGCGAAATGCAAAACAAAACAATGAGATATCATTTCACACCTATTATGATGGCTACCTGAGGAAAAAAAAGGAAATATAATAAATGTTGAGGAGGCTGTGAACAAATTAGAATCCTCATGGGTTACTGGTAGGAATGTAAAATAGTACACCAGCTATGGAAAATGGGAAATTCCTCAAAAAGTTAAACACCAAACTGCCATCTGCCCTTGTAATTCCACTCCTAGAAAAACGGGCATTCATAGGCAAAGGACTTGAAGCAGATTGGAGCAGATGTTACTTCATAGCAACATTATTCAATAGCCCATGTACACACCATCAGAGGATAGACAAAATGTGATACATACGATAGAATACTACACAGCCAGGAAAGGAGTGAAATTTGACATGTGGTACAACATGGCTGTACTTTGAAAACATTAGGATACATGAAATCTAGATATAAAGGCCCAATTTTGTAGGATTCCACTTATACAAGGTACCTAGGATAGGTAAATTCAGAGACAGAAAGTAAAATAGAAATTCCTAAGGGCTGAGGCAAAGGTAGAAGGGAGAGTTACTGCTTACTGGGCACAGAGTTTATGTCAGGAATCACAGAAAGTTTTATTTTTTTTTTTCAGGGGCAGGGAGATACAGCACTGTGAATATATTTAATGTCACTGAACTACACTCTCCCACATGATTAAAATGATAAATATTCTGTATATTTTATCACAATAAAAAATGTGGAAGAAAAAAGAGGTCAGTACTGCACATAGTAAAAAGACAGAAATTTTTAAAAACTCAAAATATTAGCGGCTACTGTTTTGAGAAAAGAAATCCCCGGTGGTCTCCTCTTTCTTTTAATCACTTTTCTCTATTTTCCAAATTATCTTTTAATTACTCTTTGGATAGAAAAAAAATAAGGTTTACATTTAAGCACTTTTTAGGGTTTGTTTTGTTTACTTGTTTGAGACAAGGTCTCACTATGTAGCCCAGGCTGGCCTTGAACTCACGGCCATCTTCCTGCCTCAGCCTCCTGAGTACTGGGATCACAAGCATGCCCAGCTCACTTGATACGTGTATGGTTCACTAGTACACATTTGTCCTTTCGAAACTTAGACCAACATTTACTAAGCAAAGGACCAAAGGAAGGGAAGCAATCCCTTAAAATGATTTAAGAAGCTCTTGCTTGGTGGAGGTAAAAGCTGACGTTCTCTTGCAAGACAACTGGCCTGCCCAGCACCAGCCCCTGGTCACATCCACCAGGGCAACCGTCCTTTCCTTGTCTGCACCCTTGGGTGCTACAGGAGGAGAGGGCTCTGAGGCTCCTCCAATGGACAATTTCATCTAGCTGTGTAGTAAAGTCCATAATTTGACCTTGAACCAAAACTTTAAAATAGGAATAGTAATTCAAACATGCAAGTGAGAAATTTTCTTAAATTCAATTAATTAATCAAAATGGCAACTATTAATTTACCCCCCGAGTATGTTAAACCCTTCCCAGAAGAGCTGTTCATATAGAAGATGACACTGACACCGTGTCGGGTTTTTATGCAGGAGTCCAAAAGACCTGTTCTCCCCTTTCTGACAAGTAAATAAAACGGCAGAGAGATCAAATAACTCACTAAAAAGAAGATATAATTTTTTATCTTCCTTTTTACAGTCTCATATCCACTTCCGTTGGGAATAACAAACTCTGAATTCTTATGCAACACTTATCTAAATGTGTCGATTTTATCGGATTGATGAATTTTGCTAACAAAAGGCAGCGCTAGGAAATCTTTTATGACATATTTGGCCCATTCACAGGGCTGGAGCTTTAATTTAACCGATGTGAGAATTCTGAGGGAGAGCTGCAGGTGTTGGATCTGAAAAAAAAATCATAAATGAGAAGCTGTATCAATCTTTATGACAGGGAAACAAAAACACTCTCTACTTGCTTGCCCTCCTAGGCTGGAGAAGGAGAGGTGGCAGTGGCAGGATATTGTCTCAGCTGCATAGCAAAGAGGAAGCATCCCTGTCTCCCGGTGACCACTATTTAGTATTGATCAAAAGGGACCAGCCCAGGGAGGAAGTGGGAAATTGATACAACAACAAGGTTTGCCAATGCTGTGTGCTCAACAAGGACATTCACTCGTTTCTCAACCACATCAGGGTCAGTCATCCTGCGGCTGCTGACACCCAGATGGCTCCTGGTTCCACGGTCCCCACCCGTCCCCACTACCCTGCTCTGCCCAGTGGCTCTGCCACCTTCCTGCCAGACTGTCATCAGCACCCATGGCTAGACAAGGTCTGTGGAGTAGCCTCAGGAGCCCCAGGTCACCTCCTCCCTCCTGCATTGCCCTGACTCAGAGCCACACTTCCTGCCCCTGCTGCCGCAGCACCTCCTGGTCTTCCCCACCACGCCTGGAGCTCCTGGTGGGCCCTCATGCACTCAGACCGGCACAACACTCTGCGACCACTTCCTAGCTCCACAAGACAACACTGCACATTCCCAGCGCAAGCTGCTGCGGAAGCCCTGTGTCATCTGCCATTTCCTCCTCTGGCCTCCAACAGCAACGCTGACTCATCTATCCACCCAATATGACAAGCCCCTGGGACAGAAATGACCATTCACCCACTAACACTCCTTACTGCCTGTTGATCACCAAGATGTGGAGAAGCAGAGGGAGAACGGACAGGGCTCCCAGCTGCTCTGCACTGAGGTCTGGCCTAGACACGTGGGCAGGACCAAGAACCCGAGAGGGGACTTGTCCTCCACACCAGGCCTTCCTCATGGGGCACAGCCCTCAGCTTTCCCTTCTGGAAGCTGAGGCACACAAGCGCCAGTGCCTCACTCTGACTGGAGAAACAAGGTGTGCGCACGGCCTAGAGCAAGAGACAGCAAAACCAGCCTCCAACATGCGCCACTCCTGTGAGCAAACTCCCTGAAAGGCAGCTTCTAGTTTTTCATGTTCCTGTGGTTTTTGGCCTCTTTGAACAGCCCCTTAGTCTTTTCCCAGCTCACTGCAGCCTTGAACGGTGCAAGTACCAGGAGGGATTCCACTTACGAGGGTGGGAAGCTGGTCCTGCCTGCCCAGTCCATGCCAAAGCCTCCTGCTAGGGGAGCGTTCCTCCCATTGGCAAACCTACTTCGTGTTCTCGAGGGTCTTCTGCATTTTCCTGGTCATTTTGTCAATGGCTGTCTGTCTCTTCCCTTCAGCTAAGAGGTCTATTTTGTTTAGCACCACGATCAGCTTCTGGCAGGCAATCTGGCCGATCACGAGGCACTCTGCTGACTGGGTCTGCATCCCCTTCGTCACGTCGATGACCAGCATCATCAGGTCGATGATCTGGGCTCCTGGGATGAGAGAAGACAAGGTCAGCAAGGGCAAGGGGGTGTAGAGGCCCACAGAAAGTCACCCCACTGCAGGCCAGGCAAAGTGCTGTAAGAAAGTGGGCAAAGAAGAATGGATGGTGACCATGAACCTCCTGGCTCCAGGCCCTGGGTGGGATGCTTGGACCTGTGAACTACTGAAGGAGCTGGGGAAGCTGAGGCCCATAACATACAGCTTGCCCAGGGCCACACAGCTAACAGGCAGCAAGGGGAAAGCTCATCCAAATCCAGACCCCCACACACAACTATTTTACTAATCCTGTCACTTTCATTTCAAGCAGGAAAAAGCTCATGTTTTGTGCTAGGCTTGGACAGCGCCTGGACACTCGTCCTTGTTCAGAACGAGAACAAAACCCCAAGAGTAAGGGGCAGGGACCAGGGGAGTGTACAGTGCTTCTCAGAGAACTGAGCCACTGAGCTCTGTCACATGCGTGCCTGGCCGTACCCCTCCCTGCACAGCAACCCGAGCCCAACCCCAGCAGGTGGACAGACGGTCACAGAACAGCTGAAGGAGGGAACCCAGTGTCACCCTGCAGAGGGACTGTCTTTTTAAAGGCACTTAGAGTCATTTCAATAAGAAAACAAAACAAAGTCATTTCAAATATGACCTCGTGAATGGGGAAAATCCAAGGATTTGCCCTGCTGAAAGGAACTGTGTTTTCATTTTTCTTTACAAAGGGCCCCACAAAGAGGTTTTCCAGGCCCAATTATGGCCCCTAAGAGGCAGAGGAAGACTGCTCTAGGAGTGATTCTGATGACAACAGCATAGCGGAGGGAGCTCCCCTGCCCCCCTGCCGGCACCAACAGTGTGCACTAGGCCAACTCACGTCCTCCCCACTACCTGTGTTTCAAATGAGGACAGGGAGCCTCAGGGACACGGGTACTCATGCTCTAGGTCACGTGGGCAATAGACACCAAAGGGTGCTAGAAGCCAGGGCCGCTGGCTCCCAGCACTGCTCTGCTGCCTACACTCCTCTGGCAGGAGGCTCGGCCATGTTAGGGTTTCCATCTGGATGCCCTCTAAAGCCTCCTGAGCTCGGGGGCTGGGCTTCTGGGAGGGGACTGGGGCATGGGGGCGGGTGCTGACTCGCTGTCAGGAGGTGGAGTCTGGTAAGCAGAGAAGTCACTGGGGTGACCTGGCAGGGCGCATCTCTCTTCCTGGCTCCTCTCTTGTCTCTCTGCTTCCTGATTACTGGAATGGGAGAGACTTTCCTCTGCCCAGGCCCTTCCACCCTGCTGCTGACCACACAAGGACCGAAAGTTACAAAAGCAGGAGCTGAATGAAGGGGCTCCTTTCCTGAACTGCAGGGGTCAGGCAGTTTGTCCTGGTGCTGAGGAAAGCAGCTGAGATAGTGTGCGTCCAACTGCAGCCAGGCTGGCATGCCCCAGCTCCCTTCCTGCCTGCCCAGGCCACCTCTCCCTCCTCCAGGACAGGAGGGAGGTGGGGTCTCTAACGTCCAGGGGTCAAGCCCAGGTACAAGGGGCAGCAGCACTCCCAGGTAGGAGGACCTAGGTTTCTCCCACAGCCATGCAGAGGGCACACTGGCTCCATCATCTACCAGGAACACAGTGCATTTAAAACAGCCCCAGCTGTATACACCTGCAATCCCAGCACTCTGGAAGCTGAGGAGGAAGGGCTGTAAGTTCAAGCCCAGCCTAGGCAACTTACCAAGACCTATGTCAAAATAAAAAAGGGTTGAGATGTAGCTCAGAGCAAAGACCTAGGTTCAATCCTCAGCTCTGCAAAAAAGAAAAAAAGCCCAGAACTGATTCATACTGGGGGGTGGGGGGGCGCCTGAATTAGTACAATCTGCAGGGCCAATTTGGAAAGTACTATCAAAATGCATGTAACATGTGGCCCAGCCAAGCTCATATAAACATAGAATGCCCTGTGGCATGTTTACTGACCCTAAAGTTGGAAACCACATAGATGCCCATCAGTAGAAAGAAGGCTAAAAATAGTGCAAATGAAGAAGCCCTTTCTGGACCACTCCAGAATGGCCTCCATGAAGAGCGGGAGGGGAAAGCAAGGGGCAGAGCCGCGCTCAGCATCGTGTGTGCATGCAGGGGCCAGGCAGCTTCTGTGTGGATTTGGCCACCACGGGAGTGCAAGAGAGAGTGGGTGGCAGAGAGGAAATTCTTCATGGCACATCCTTCTGTTCTCATCTCAAGCAAGGGTGCAGAATCATTCAGAAACTCACATTTTAAATACACAAATAATAAAATAAACACACACTGGCATACTGCTTTCCTGCTAAGAGTCCTCACTACCCCATGAATACAAACTAACTCCCCAGTGTGGCTTCAGACTCCCTCTTTTCTAAATTAACAGTTGCTCTCACACTTGACCTGTGCCACACAGTCCCTGGCCCTTCATAAATGTCCTTCTGGGCTCCTTGTCTTGCCCATGGCCCCACGAAGCCAACACCTGCCTCCCACAGGCGAATGTGAGCTCTTCCCGCTAGCAAGAGGACACTGGCAACCCCAGTCCTCCCACCCGCAGCAAACCCAGGGCCGACCCAGGCCTGAGGCCATCTCTGAGCAGAAGGAGGACGCTCACGGTAAGAGGAGTGTGTGGCGTCCCAGCCGGGGGAACAGCCCTTCAAGGCCCATGGGTCCCGGCAGCAGCCCAGGCCTGCTCTACCTCATGGGCTCCTCCAGGGGCGCTCAGGAGTGATTCCAACCTCCAGGTCTCCTTCAGGACAAAACACCACCCACACTTTATACATGAGGAGACTGGGGCTTTGGAGAAGCAGACGGAGCCCAGGCTCTTAACCACAGCGCCACACAGCCTGTCCTTCCCAGTGGGGACCCAAGCTACGTGTCATCCTCCTCTCACACGTTCCACTTCACCCTCATCCTCTACTTGAGAACCAGGCACAACGCACATTCGCTCTTGCCACCTTCCAGGAGCCCTGCCTGAGCATCAGTGGCCTGGATCTTGCCCACCTTGCTCTGCCTGTCTACCCTAGCCTGAGCGCTGGCAGCCAAGGCCTGGGGCTTTGGTCTGCATTCCCAGCACAGGACGAACTTGGGCACAGCTTAATAAATCCTTGTTGAGCTGCACTGATCAACATTAGCTCCACGCTTCCTCCACTCTCTTCTCTAAGATTCAGTTTCCTATGGGCATATACAACTGTCCCAGAATGCTGAGTCCTGCCCTGTCCACGTCTTGGGCCCTCCTACTTGTTGGGATCTTGTGCATGGGAAATGATGCTAATTGACAGGCTCAGTAAGCCAAGTGCAGATGGGCCCAAGCTCGAGGGAGCCAGTCAGGATTCCATCTGCAGCCTTAGCTGGCGTCTACAAGCCGCCTTTGTTTCAGCAAGCACACAGTTCTGCTCCCTCTCTGCAGCATGACCAGCACCAAGGACTTCTAAGGAGCCCAGAGGTCAGGGCGGCCTGACTGGCTACACTGAGAACCGGGTACTGCTGGACATTGGGGTCAGCAGTAGGCAACTGCCCGCTGCCTGGCAGTCGCTCTGTGACTCTTGTTTCTTCAGCAAACTTTGATCAGCAACAGGAAGTAACACAACTGGCCTGCCTGTCTTGTCTTCTTCAGACTCCCCAGTATTTCCAGAGAATGAATCAAACAGTGTCCTTCCCCGTTCCCATGAACCTAGGGTAGGAAATCACCCTGAGATACAGGGACAGAGGGACCGAGTGGGTGGGAACACAAGACAGAAACTCGAGGCTGACAAATGACCCTCTATATTTCCAATCTATCAGGGCTTTTCATCTAGCTGCATTGACTGCGGACTCCTTGAAAGGTCTGCGGAGTAATTATAACAGGGTTAAAGTTTCTCAGTACTTTTTTTAAAATCACAATTTCCAATTCTGTAGACTGTATATCGTAATCATTTCAAAAATAAAAATAATGAAAAACTGACAAAGCTCAAGATTTAACAAAGTCTAAATTATCTTTGAGATGGAATTTTCCATCTGGGACTGGGGGGCGGGTGCACCCAGAAAAAAATTTTGACTGGAAAACATGAATATAAAACTCTAAACATATTTTAGCAGCCTCAAATCAGTTTAAGTCAAAACTTGTAAGTTTCCTAAAAAGGACTAATGATATTAAATTTAAAATAGGCTGCTCAGTGGCACGGCATGCCTGCCTGGCAATCACGAGGTTGTGAGTTTGATTCCCGGTACCAAAAAAAAAAAAAAAAAAGAATAAAATATAGAAAATTTTGTTTTCACATGATGAAGAATGTAAATATACTGCAATGAACATGATAAACTGTGGTGGCAACTGATGTCCAATAGCATGGTAACCTCTGCCAGCTATGGCAAAGCACTCTGCCCCACTCCCTGGTCTACATAGTGAACACAGGGACAGTGCCTCAGTCACTGGGGTGCAGTGACAATTAAATGAGATAGCACACATGGAAAGCACTTCAGAGAGGGAAGGAAACAGTCAAGGTCAAGCACAGGGAATCAACGCGCAGCCACAGCTGCTCTCCAGCACAGCATGCCGCATCCCTGACCAGCAGCATCTGGGTCCCGATCAGAACAGCTGCTCTGTCCCTGGCGCTATGCCAGGGTGGAGGGCGGCTCCAGGCTGAGTGCTCCAGGACACAGACATAGATGCCAGAGGTCCCTACCTGGGTGCCCAGGGTGGGAGGAGATGCCAGCAGCTCTCCCAGCCCCGGCGGCCATCAAGATTGCTGTTACTTTGATTCATTACTCTAAGTACAGTTTGTCTGTCTCATTTTGTGGGTCAAAAGACTAAAGCTCTGGCAGGTTAAATACCTTGCCCAAAGCCACCCGGCTCGGGGTGGAACCCAGAGTTGGTCAGGTGCCAACACAGGCTGCAGCTGTCTTGGTCTGACTCTGCTGGTTCAGGGGCCGAGGGGAAAAGACTTCTACTGTGATACAGCCATTCAGCCCCAGCCAGGGGAAGCTGCTCGGGTGCGCGATGGCTCTGTGCACACCCGTGTTCTCTCTGCGCAGTTTTCCTG